TCCTCTTGCCATCAGGTGAGAAGGCAACTGATCTGATATAATCAGTGTGCCCCTTCAGCGGCTCCCTGAGTAGAGCTCCAATCTCTGCATCCCAAATCCGCACAGTGTGGTCATAGGAGCCAGACACAATGCTCTTGCCATCAGGTGAGAAGGCAACTGAGGTGATAGAATCTGTGTGTCCCTGCAGCGGCTCCCTGAGTGCGGCTCCGCTCTCTGCATCCCATATGCACATGGTTTGGTCATGAGACCCAGACACAATCCTCTTGCCATCAGGTGAGAAGGCAACTGAGCTGACTATATCTGTGTGCCCCTCCAGTACAGAAACTGTATCTGGCCACACCTTCATCCTCCCTCTTGTGATTGTTAGTAGTTGTGGGAATTTGTGCGAGAAGATTTTTGTCATTTTAGATTCTTCTGGTGCCAAGGCCAGTGCTGACAGATAAATATGAGGAGCACTTTGACTGATTGCTTCCGAAAAGAAGGAAATAAATCTTCTTGCATCCGTCAGAAATTGGAGAAGGGGTGTGCTCTGATGATCTTTAGTCCTCACAACATCCCATGAGATCATTCCCAGACATACCTCATTTTCCCATGCCATCAATTTAAATAAGGCCTCCTGTCCATGGCTCACAATCCCAAGTAGACTCAACACCTCCAGCCAAAACAGAAACTTGTTGAACAGCAAGTCCTGTACTTGTTGGGCACGGTATGAATCATGAGCTGTTGCCACTAGATGATCCACCCAAAATTCAGCCGCATATCGGACATGCAATGGGATATGGTTGTCAAGTCGCTGCCACAAATCTGGTATGTCAATGTTCCTCAAGTATGAGGTTGGTAGTTTACAGATATTGAACTCTAGTTGGCTGTCCAACACCTTCATAAGACAAGACACTAGGCTTTGCTGTTGATCATCCGTGCCACACAAGATTTCTGGGCGCACCTCTCCAACATATGATGTCATAAACTCTCTGAACGAGAGATGTATGATTCTAATTGCTGTGCCGGGAGTATCAGAAACATAGATCACAGCGCTCAGAGGGAGTAGTATCCCCAGAATTATTGCTTTATCCAGTTCAAGCACGTCTGCCAGACTCTGGCAATCCAGAGGTTTCAGGAGATGCAAAATTGTACTCAGAATCTTCATGGTTCGATCATATGAGCGTTGACCACGCCGGTCCCTGCGGGCAGCTGATGGGATGGCATAATTCACAATCCGAAGGTACAGATCATGCAGGTCAGTGAGAACTTCTCCATCCAGGAGGTAATCAACAGATTCCTGTGGGGGTGTTTGTGGGAGTCCGGCAAGAACATAACGAACAGCTGTAGCTGCAAACACAAAGAGTCCATTTGCAAGGATTGTGATTTCTTCTGCCTGCTTTGTCTGAATTTTCCAGGGATGATGTGTGACCCAGTTGTTGCCATTAAGTGATTGCTCAACATAGAAGTGTATGTCGTGCTGAACTATAATGGGTTCAACTTCTTCTAGGACAACCCTATGTGTCAGATAAAGAAGTTTATCGAATTCAAGATAGGAAGGGACCTCAGGGCGGCCGGTCAGAAGGAATCGAATGTGGGCCGGGATTTGATCAATGCTATCAGATAGCCACCGCATGAATTTCTGACCATGATCTTGCCCACATTCATCCAGAGCATCAAGGCAGATCACCCATGGTTTTGAACCAAGAGGTAGCTTCCCAAGAGTTTCCACAACCAGTTTCTGGAACTGCTGACGTGGTTCTGCATCATAAATGCCAGTTCTATCTTTTTCCAGTACCTCAATGAGATGGGCACGAAAGCTGGGACTATAATCTGCAAGCTGCCTGGCAAGTGTCATAGCAAGGTGATTTATCTCCCTGCGGTCTGTGTGGTCACGGGAAAAGAAGAAGGAGGCTGCAAGAGTATCTTCCTTCTCGGCCAAGATAGCCGCAACTGTTTTGGCAATTGTGGATTTGCCCGATCCTGCAAGTCCGCTGAGCATGACCACCCGGAATAAATCAGAGGTATTGGTCAATTGTGTGACAAGGTCTTGAATTATGGCAACTCGTGTTCCCTCCATGCATTTCTCGGGTGTGTTGGCTGCATTATAATGTGCAGCCACACGTTTGAGATTTGCGAGAATCTTGCTGCCAGCTGTGGTGGTCGTGATACTGTCAGTTTTTCTGTCAATCCCCGGGATTGTAGTGTTGAACACTTACAATCATTCTGTGAACTGGGACTACCATGATTGGGAAACAGCATTTGGGAGAGGATGAATGAACATACTAATTATTCACAGTGAAGTGTTCAGTCTTGACATTATAAGACGCCCTGGGAGCCTCCCCAGGACCCCCATCACCACCTTGTAAGCCACCTCCCCCACCTGGGCCTCCTACACCACCTGGGGAAGATAAGCAATAATGTCGGCTGACCAATTGCCATGCACCGACCATAGATGGTCTGATTGATGGTATGAGCTCGGTGAGACATAGAGCTAGTGAGCATCGATAGGTAGTAACTCTGGGTAGAGTGCAGACTGGATCCTGTGGTGCGAGAGACGTGGAGGTGAAAGAACAAGGGCAGACTGACAGCTCACTGACAGCCACAGCCTGCGGTTATATACATCATTTCCCAGTTAAGTATAGGACATCAAACTCCGTAATCTCGGCTCCAGATGTTCAGATGGTGAAATGACGGTGAGATAGAAAAATCCACCCTTATAGGCAGTGCTCTCTAATCACATTTTTATCAAAATTCACCTCAACAACATCTCAACATCCCCGATTGGATTTCTGCCTGCAAGCAAGCAGTGAGTGAACTGCCCTAAAACTGCTGGGAACGAGACTACAAACTCTGGGAAGATGGCTTAATTTTTTCATGTGTGTATATTGATGGGCGACCACAGATTCACATCGCTGGGCTCTATTGAAAGAGGATTTTAATTGATCTTGCTTCTTTAAATGGCGAAGAAAATCAAACTCACTTGAATTGATTCTTGAATGGTACATTTAAAATTCTATTTCCGGCCTTGGTATTTGTTTTATGATACCTAAAGAATTGAGATCAATGTTTTGTGATACCTAAAGAATTGAGATCAATGTTTTACGATACTTAAAGAATTGAGATCAATGAAAATGGCCTTTTAATTGAGAGGCTGAATCCAGGGTTCACCTAACCCTAGCGGTATGAAGATAGGGGCCTATGTTGAAGGCAGTAAGAGTGATATTGTTCTATATATTGTTACAGATCTTCCACCAAAGCTACAGAAAGTACTAGAGTTTTTTGGCAGGACACTACAGTGGTGGACCATATAAAAGGGGGGGGTTCTTGTTGACAGAACTACAGCTTAGACTCGTTACCAGTCTGCGCTACGGCAAAAGAAGAGTGATGAGGTAATTTACCGTAGACGGACTGGTACAACTCGGGCCACGCCAACACCGAGGGTGCCGATGGGAATACAAGGAGGAATGTGGATGTAGTGCATGGTGCACCTTTGCTCTCAATATTTACAGTTAACATGCAGTTGAAGCAGTTGATCCAACGGGTTCGACTCCCCACGTCCGCATAGGCCACTCCGTGATCATTTTTTTCTCAAGGCAGTTGGTGGGGTTCTTTTTTTTCTTCTACGGCCGTGCCTCGTGGTTCAGTACATACATCAGGATCCACGGTTTTCGCACTGAACAAACGGCCAACCTGGTTGAAGGTTGACCCACCGGTTCAACTGCAATTTGTGCATCTTGCGCTTGGATCGAGCTCAAGTCTTGAACTCGATCCAAACACTCTACTGACACTTTTACGGGAAGCCGTAAAGTAAAACGAGAGCAGAAAGCGGACGTGGTGGACGCGACCTGCCCTCAGCGGTGAGTCGGCGAGCTAAATTTGAAGCAGTGGGGGTTCAACTCTCCGCGTCCACATGATCAGGGAAGTTCTGCATATATCATATTATATGTTTTTCTCCGCTGCAGCAGCTATCTAGCCATTTGCTCTTGGCGTGCAACACCTTAGGCCCTGCTTATACGCAACACCACAAACTTGCCCGTATAACGCCAGTTATCCCTAACTTTGAATTTGATTGAGCATCCACCCGATTCCAAAAACTCAACCACTCACGGGACCCTATCGCACACCAACTCCCCACTGAAAGAAGCACCGGATTTTCAACACGGTGAGTCCAAAAAAATTAAAGTATTACTGTGCCAAGCAAAAAGGTATAGAACGCGGACGTAGTGCGTGGTGCACCGCTGCTACACTACGCCTTTGGCCGTGTGTTTAGTCGACAGCTTGACGGGGTTCGATTCCTGCGTCCGCATGTGACGAAGGATTGCACACTTTTTGCAAGTCACATCTTAGTAGCTTGAACATTGATTTGAACTGGAACTCGATCCGAGCACTGTGCCACTGTCCACAGCCCAACATGAAGGGTGTGATATAAAAGGGATACAGTTATTGGTCAAAGTAAGAGGGGATTAAAGCGGATGTGGTGCGTGGTACACAGCTGCACCGGATAGTTCCCGGATAGTTCAGTAACTCTTGCGCCAAGCAGTCAAGGGGTTCGATTCCCCCCCGCGTTCGCACCTTTTATTTTTTTGACCCTCCGTCCCACGACTTTGGCCCCATTCCTTCGACCAAATAAATCTCTCGTCGCAAATCCGTGCACCGAAACTCAATATTCCGCGCTTAGACCACCGGTGGGACCCATTGCGTCTGCATGGCTCGCTCTGGCTTTTAAAAAAATATTCCATCCTGCCTCCTTGGCCAAGTAAGGTCTCCGTCAAAACTAACTCTGGCTCAGAGGCAGAGGGGAGGGCAACGCCGTAACGGCGAGGTTGGTGCTGCACTGACATTTACCCCACCCAATGATATTTCTTATAATCGGAGTCATATTATGCAGGCCAAGACAAAGAAGAAAAAGAGGGGGAGTTTCAAGGCGAGCCCAAAAAATGTGGAGTACGTATTACACGGACACCAAAGAGGTATAGATGGGGGACCTAGATCATGGCGTGCGTGAAGGGGAGTAGAACGTGGACGTGGTTCATGGCGAACAGTTGCATTAAATTTGGATTTTCTTCGTCTATTTAGCAATGGATTGGGGTTCGACTCCCCGTGTCCGCATTATCGCTTGCTTGGGGGCTTTTTTTATGGGCGCCGCTGTTACGGCCCACTCGTCAAAAGCTGCACATAAATTGGGATACCATGAGAGGCAGGAACGCGGATGTGGTGCACTGGACACGATTACTCTCATTAATTAGCCTGGTCAAAGACATTTGAGGCAGTTTGACGGGGTTTGACTGCCCGCCTTCGTGTAGCTATTAGGTCCGCCTCGGCCCCCTTTTTTTCATACCTTCCCTGGGTCCTCGGGGAGAGTATAGTTCTCCTCCAAATCTCTACGCGATAGTGGGGAACCCCCACTCATTACGCAGGCAACATTTTGTTAAACCACCTTGAAGGAAACCGACCAATTCAAAAAGAAATAGAAGTGCAGGTGAGTTGAAAAAGAAGTTCAAGACTTACTGTATCAAGAAGTGGGTGAAGAAAGCGGATATGGTGCATGGTGCACGATTGCTCTCAGTTGTCGAATGGCAACCAAGAATCACGTTGCCGCAATTGAATGGGGTTCGATTCCCCGTATCCGCATGCTGAGTTCTTCAATGTCTTTTTCTCCATCCTGCTCACTCGCGCGCGGAGGTCGCTAACACACCAGACATAATATCATTGTTCGACCATCAAGAAAGAAAGCACAGGGCAATGTGGTAGGTTGAAGAATATTGAGCACCGACCACCCATAGAGTGGCATCATTTGTTGAAGTAGCGCATCGGGGTTTAACTCGCCGCGTCCCTATGTTCTCTGGGTCTTTTGACATCCCAGGCGCAGTTCAAGGTCATTGAATGCATTTGGATCATTCAACAAAATGTTATCCGAGGCCCCTGTTTATTAAAAGCTAGAAATAAAGTGATACACCTATTGGGCCGAGGTATAAAAGCCGGAACGCGGATGTAGTGCATGGTGCACCACTACTAGGACTACTTGAAGAGGCTATCTGTTTAGTCGGCACTTTGATGGGGTTCGACTCCCCGCGTCCGTATGTTCGTACGATCTTCAAGCCTTGTTCCCCATACAACCTGTCCTGGAGCCTCGGGAGAACATCGCCTGATGTAGATCCCAACCTGAACAAGGGAAACCATGCCCGGCAGCCCAAGAACCAACTCAAAGGAATCACATAAGAAAGAAACAAGTTCAGAAGTGTGGGTGAGTTCAAGAAATGTTCAACGCTTACTGCACCGAGAAGCGGGTGAAAAAAGCGGATATGGTGCATGGTGCACGATTGCCTCAGTATTTCGCCCTCGCCACTCTGCCAGTGAAGCGATCGATCAGGGTTCGATTCCCTGCGTCCGCATGGGTCAGCGCTCGATTTTCGATTTTTCTTTGCTTTCTTCCTGAATTAGACCATTTTGGCCCGAGTCCTTTGACCATACATCACACTAATCAATACTCTAACCTAGTCTCTTATAAACAGATACTACAACTAAAAACTCGTACCTCGTTTGTTGTAACTCTAACCCAGAACCCGCGCAACAATATGCGGCGCTTTGACCACGCGTGGGATCCATCACCCGCTTAACGCCATCGCGATCGACAACGTTATCTGATCTCATTCCACCACCATCTCCGGCGATCCCGCGTGCAAGAGATGTCCGACTGGCTCAACGTCGACCTCAACAAAGTCGGCGTCGAGACCAAACAGGTTGACTTGGGGAACCATGTTATGTATGGCCAGACTATGCCCCTGCCCAACGCCATCCCCGGGAAGATAGGCGATGACAAGAACAAGAAGACCGTTCTGATCTACGGGCACTTTGACGTGCAGTCCGCCTCGCTGTCGGACGGGTGGGCCTCCGAGCCATTCGTCCTCACCCACTCCCATTCTCCTCCATCCCCTCAAAGCAAAACCTCAAGTTCACAGGCAACGGCGTCTGCGTCTCGTGATGCCACTGCAGCACCGCAAGCCAGCCCAGCACCGGGCCCTTGTCGTCGGAACTGCCGCGCCCGACGAGTCGGCCATCGGGGAGCATAGGGGCTGGATGAGCTGGTGGAAAGGGAGAGGGAGGGCTGGTTTGGGGGCGTGGATTGTATGTGCATTGTGAGTCCGCCTTAATTGTATTCTCTCTTTCTTCCTTATTTTGTGGTGGCTAATGGGGAGAGTAGAGCGACAACTACTGGCCCAACACGCGCACGCCCGCGCTCACTTACGGTCTGCGCGGCCTCGTGTACTTCAAGATTAACGTCTCGGGCCCGGGGCGGGATTTGCATTCCGGTGCGTACTCGTCCTTACGATTCTTGCGCCATTTGTTCTCTATTTTTATCTCCTTTATTCTCCGGTTTTGCCTTGTACCAACGTGGTCGCGCGCCTTTGATTCTGCTGGGGCTGCGTATCACCGCGATGCCTCGCCTGTTGCTTTCGTTCGGCGTCTCCGCGTCCACGCCGTCCGCACGCGAGCCTTTCGCTCTTGTACTTTGCAGCGCCCGAATCCGCGCGCTTTCTCCCTCTTCTGTCTCGCGCCGGGATCGGGATGGCTGCGCGCATCGTGTGCGGCAGTCCGCGTGCGATTCTTCGACCTTTTTGACATCGTGTCAACCGGTGGTGCGCGTTCGGTGCCTGTTTGCGCCGCGGCGGGGAGCGGCTCTCGTCGTGCGAAGGAGGAAGGAGGATACCGGTATCGTCCTTGCATGCCCGCCCTGCCTATCGGGTCGTGTCGCAGTATCGGCGCATCGCGCATCAAGGCAGATGCGGATATCCCACCGCGTCCGATGCACCCCTTCCAGCCGTTGCGCATGAGCGGTGGCACCAGCTGCATCCATTCTGCGCTGCTCTTTCCGTGCGTTATGTGTTCTCCGCGGCTGCCCTTACACTTCGTACTTGCACTTGCTCCTCGCCTTGGCCTGCGTCCTTACGCCGCGCGCGTCTCTATCTCGTCCCTCTAACCCGTACCTATTATCGTACCTATGTACTATGTGTGTGCGGCAATGGAGTATTCGTCCGCGCCCTTGGAAGCATGGCGTGTTTTCGCGAGGAGGATGCATTGGCCATGGCCATCGGCGCTCTATCCGCCTTCTCTGGTGTTCGGTGCTTCGGTGCTTGCGGGTGGCTGTTTACCTGCGTAGTCCGCGGTGTTGGCGGGTGGATGCGCGCGAAGACGATGGTGGCGCGGCTTTACTTTTTTTTGGCTTTTTTTTCGTATTGTGGAGGTGCAAAGGCGAGGGGGATAAGCGTCTTTCTGCGCGTTTCTCCCTTGGCGTGTATCTGCGCGTTTCTCCCTTGGCGTGTATCCATGCGCGGTGCCGATTTGGATTTACCTAGCCCCGGGCCATTTCCATCTCTATTTGCGGCAGGAAGTGGGACGGACGCCGCCTTTGTCTTTGTATTCAGCTTTGTCTGGGCCTTGTTTTTCTTTTTTTTTGGGTCTTCGTGCGCGGTGGTGCGGATGCGGGCCTGCATCCGCCGCGTCTTTCGTGTGCCTCGGCTCGTTGTGTGCACCCCACTGCGGCCGGAGGCGTTTCGTTTTCGTGGTCTTTGTGCGGAGGAGGATGTCCTCGTCCTCGTCCTCGGTGGTGTCAATGGTCGATGGTATGGCGGTGTCGGCACGAGTTCGCCGTAGTCGTGCTGGTGTAAATGCTTTCTTTGTATGGTCGGCGTCGCGTGGGCTCGAGCTCGCCGTGGTGTCTTTCATGCGCACCCACACGGATTTCTCCCTCACATTTTTTCCGAATATACACGTCGGCGTCGTTCCTCGTGCGCCTACCCGCATGATACGATCTTTCTTCAAGCCCGTTTTTCCCTCCATTCCTCTCCCCCGTTCTCCTTGTTTTCATTTAGTTATCACCGCTTCCAATGTCAATCTTTATTAATCCCCCCTGTTTTTTACCAGGCGTATTCGGCCGCACAGTCCACAAGCCCATGACCGACCTCATCTCCTCATGAGTCGGCTCGTGGACGCGCAGGGCCGGATTTTGGTGCCGGGGGTGGACGATATGGTGTCGGCGGCGGGGGTGGAGGAGCGGTTAGTTTTTTGATTGGGCTTTTTTCCTTTTTTGGCTTCGACACTTGGATATGAGGGCGCGGCGGGTGTGGAGGGGACGTAGAGGGTCGGCGCGAGATTTGCGAGCACCATTGGGGAGGTGCTCGATGGGGCTGCCTTCTTTTTTGTGCGGGTTTCTTGGTGGCGCACGGCGATGTTTTTTTTGAGCGGGGTGGGGAATCGCGGGGGAGAGGTGATGCGCGAGGAGCTGGGCCGGCGCGTGCGAGGTCGAGCACTCCCGACGGATTCTCTCCATCTGGCGTGTTCTTGTGCGCGTTGCTGCCGTTGTGCTGGAGGCGGTTGGCGGGTGCTGGTGCCGGTCCGCCTCCACAGCCCGCTGCATTTTCTCTCCATCTTGCGCAGTGCACCTTGGAGATGGCGCGGGGTGCAGATGCGCACACGAGGCGTTTGTTTCCCTGCGCGCGCGCGCGCTCGTGCAGTGCAAGTCGGTATACAGGGCGCGGCGGCGTTTCCTTAGCTCATGCGCATCCGCTCGCACGCGGGCGTGTTTCCTGTATCGTTTGGGTCGCGTTATCATTTACTCTTTCCTTGGGGCGGCGTCTCTTTTTGGCCTCCGTTGAGACACCTATTGGTGTCGGGATCGGTGTCCATTCAGCGCTGAAATGGCCCTATTTTCGGGCGGGGTTCTCGGTGCAGGTGCATCCTCCTCCTCCGCATGCGGCCGCATGGGTGGTATGCAGGGCCGAGATCTCGGTGGTCCTTCATCTTTCATCTATTCCCTTTGGTTTCCGCCCCGGTGTCCATGCTCTGCATTTCCTCCCCACTTCACTTCATCTTTCTGCGCGGTACTGATTATCATTCATTTTAAAGAGCCATCCACGAGAAACCCGACTACAGCATCTCCGATTTCGAGGGCGCCGCGGGAGGCAAGATTGGGTTGTCGGAGGATAAGGTGCGTCTTTTCTATCTTCATTTTACCTTCGGATATATTCTTTGGATTGCTGCGGGTTTTTTTATTTGCTTTTTCTTCTTATTCTCCCGGTGGGGCGATACTGGCGCTCTACACAGTGCAGAATGGGCGGGCAATCGGCCTGTGACGGGGACGAGCTCCACGTGGCGGATGTGCGCGTGCGTTTGGAATTTGAATCCGGGGGAGTCGTGCGCGCCCGTGTATCCAACGCGGTAGGGGCGGAAGGGGAATCGGAGACGCGCGCGATGGAGATCGCGGAGGCGGTAACGGTCTAATGGTACCGGGGTGGAACGAGGACGAAGAGATGGAGATGGAGGTGTTCGTGCGATGGAAGTGGAGCCTGGTCGCGTCGCGGCGGAGCTGGACGAGCAGACCCAGGGGACGAGCAGCAACGGACGGTGCTCCTCCCTGCTTGTGCCTGTGTGTGCTGCCAGCCGCGACGGCCGTCCTCCCGATGACAGACTTGCGATGATGGTCGAGCTCGTGCTTGGCGAGTCAGCGGCGGTACCGTGGAGGTGGACCTGGATGTGCGTCGTGTTCGCGAGAGAGAAGGTGGCGCGAGCTCGCAGAGTACAGATTCCGGTGGCGCCAGATGCGTGTGACGAGTCGTTGGGATGGAGCAGCCGGTATTGCCGTCGGCCGTGGTGGGCATACTGCGGACGCGTCGTGGTTCTGCTGGGTAGTAGGCGGCGTGCTCGTGCGTTGGCGGTAGAACGGAAAGAGGAGCACAATGACGACCAGCGGACCCAGCAGGACCGGCCGCAGCTGAAGCGGGGCGAGGAGCGGAGCTTTGTGCTCGCCCAGGAAGGTGACGGTAATCGGGCTTGTGAGGTGAGGGGCACGGTGCTCGGCGGTGACGGTGCTTGGCGTGCAGACCTGCGGGCTGAGGAAGGCGCAGGCGCGGACGCGGACGCGGAGGCTGAAGCTGAAGAGGGGCGGAGGACGAGTAGGATGGCGAATGCGAGTCAAGCTGCAGGTGCTCGCTCTCCAGACGCGGGAGCAAGACGAGGATGTGCTCGTGCTCGTCCTTTTGCTACTCCTGCTTGCCCGCGTGCCCTTACTCTGTGGAATCGGATGGTCCAAGCAGCCGGGTGAGGGTGAGGAGTCGGGTGAGGACGCAGCGCCCGTGTTCGTACCGGACGCGAGGGAGCAGGTCACTCACGCACCGGTCCGACTCGTTCTCGATGCAAGGAAGCAGGCCGGGAACGCGGGGGGAGGCGGGCATACTCGTCCTCGTGCCCATGATCTCCAGGCGTTCCGCTCGCTGATGTTTGGGCGTCTGCTTGCGGTTGACCACCGTTGTATGCGCGTCTCTGAGCCGAGCGACTGCTGATATCCGGGACTGCGTAAAGAGATGTATCTAGAGTATGGAATTAAATCTCCTGTCCT